TCTCTCTCTCTCTCTCTCTCTCTCTCTCTCTCTCTCTCTCTCTCTCTCTCTCTCTCTCTCTCTCTCTCTCTCTCTCTCTCTCTCTCTCAAGATTGTTGTCGAGCTCGAAGGCGTGATTTCGAAATGGAGTAGTCGGCTGTTTTTCTCCTGGTCGTTCGCGGGGCTATCCCCAGCGAGATCAAACACCCTGCAGCTTGCTCAGAGGTCTTACATCTTACTTTCGACATTCGTGGGGCTATACCCAGCGAGATTCAACACAGTGCGGCTAGTAATATGTCGACTTTTTTATGATAAGGAGGCGGTGAAAATAGCAAGCAATGAAGAAGGGTTACTCCTTGCTACTAGGGTAGTAGCGGCATTTGCTATATTATATGGAGCGCGGGAGGAGGCAGAGGAGGGGGAGGTAGACCCAGGGAGGCGGTTGGTTTTATCCTATCCTTCCCTACGGAGGGCAACCATAGACTATTCCCCTGCTCGTATCGAGGGAGATGCTAACCTTCTCTCAGCTCAGCGAGCACGCAGAGGGCAATCAATGCTGTGTTGGACGGCTCAAACTTATGTAACGTATATATATATATATATTACCGGGCAGCTCTGTTTGACTATATATTGTCAAAAAAGAAAAAAAAAGAAAAAAAAAGGAAAAAGGAAAAAAGGAACAGATCCGTAGCATATATATTGTTGTCTGATGAAGGGACGGTGCACCCGTTTTCAATCAGATTCGTGCTCAATCTCCGTTTTTTTTTTGTTTTTTTTTTTTTCCACGGATCAGATATTGCCTGCTCTTTAAAAAAAAAAAAAAAAGTTGCCTGCTTGATCTCTTTCATGTTCCGATGAACTCGATCTTGTCGTCGCTGGAGTCCCGTCTTTCCCTGAACACAATGCACCCTCAATCGGAGAGGAGTGTACGGTCGTTTACATTCACGATTACGGTTTTTTTTTTTTTTTTTTTTTTTTTTTTTGTTGTTGTTGGTTATATCTTCTTTGAATAGGGCGACGGTCTTGACATGTCATCATTACACTCTTTTTGGTAATCCAGATTTATTTTTTTTGTTCATCTGATTGCTGATTGCGTGTTCGGATTCGAACCTGGGTCTGTATTTCAGCAGTTACGTTTTTTTTTTTTTTTTTTTTTTTTTTTTGTTGTTGTTGTTGTTGTTGTGGTGATCTTCTTTGAATAGGGCGACGGTCTTGAGATGTCATCATTACACTTTCTGGCCCCATCATTACACTTTCTGGCCCCATCATTACACTTTCTGGCCCCATCATTACACTTTTTGGTAATCCAGATTTATTTTGTTTGTTCATCTGATTGCTGATTGCCTGTTCAGATTCGAACCTGGGTCTGTATTTCAGCAGTTAATGCCATTAATGGGTGTAAGACTGAGCCACGCACGCCGAGAAGCGCTAGGTTATTATGTACATTGCTTGTGCTGTTACTCTGCATTCCCACCAGAATCTCGGCATCTGGACAGAAAGTTCGCCCATGTACCTACAGCTATAATCGCCGGACGATCTATTTGTGCCGTCTTTTGGTGGTTCAAAAGTAAGCACTTGCATCTTTTTTTTTTTTTTTTTTTTTTGGGTCTTTTTCAAATTTAAGAAAAGAAAATAAAATAAAATTTTGGCTGTGCTCTTAGTGTTTTCCCCTTTTTGGTGGGGGGGGGTTGAACTTGCTTTTCTTTTTTGGGTTGTGGAATGAATACGTGACGTGGCACCTCGCTGAGACACGAGTAGTCGACACGTGGGTTTAGGGTTTAGCGACGCGTGTACGCGGATGTCTATCGTGCTTGTTTGTTGACGTCATCCGGTTGTCTGAACAGAATCCTGTTGTCTTGATTCCTGAAGCGGAACACATCCTATTTAACCTATTACATGCCTCGGACGCTTCTACTGAGGCGCACGACTTCTTCATGATGATTGCTTGCACAGTGTTGTTGTTGTGATCTCTCTCTCTCTCTCTCTCTCTCTCTTCCTTTTTTTTTTTTCCTTGCTAAGTAGTCAGTGCTTGTTTCTACATGAACATGATTGAGGATAATATTTGGCGGAATGTCCTCTCTCTCTCTCTCTCTCTCTCTCTCTCTCTCTGATAG